TTTTGTTTTTTTTTTGTTTGCTTTCGTGTGTGTTTTTGGTTAAATGTGTGAATGGAATAGAAGTATTTATTTATTTATTTATAACGAATCAATATTTGATCCCACTAACTACAATAGTAAAACATGACTTTGTTAACTCCCACACGATAAAAAGTGCTGAGTCACTTAACTGCTGAACACGATACTTAATCCAATTCAACCACTTACTATAATTGAATTCATTCATTATTTATTATTTATTGTAAATAATCTTAAGGGATAAGAATGAATATAATAAGATAAGAACTACACGGAAATTAGACCACGTAGCCTTACATAATTGGGTAGTTCGGGCAACGAGTAGTATGTTACAAAATATTACATTTATTCTAATTGAAATTAAAAAAAAAAATGAAATTCGAGTCAAATTCGCAAAATCAAATTGTAAGAATTCAATTACACATGTCATCTTCTTTTTGTCTCTTTTACCGCGCCAGTATATGAATATAAAAAATTAGAGAAATCCGAAAAAGAAATTTCATAAAATCCCCACTCAGGATTCAGGAAAAAGAAAAAGCAAAAAAAAAAAAGTGTGGAAAATATCCTTTCGTTTGATTGTTTCCCCACTCTACCCACCACCGATGGACCCGCCGGAATCCTCCGCCGCCGAGAGAGTGATCCTTCGCTGGGACTCATCCGCCTCCGAGGACGCGCGCGACAAGTTGATCTTCGCCGGTGACCGCCTCGAGGTCGACCGCTACCTAGACGCCGTCGACGAGCTCCAGAGATCCATGTCCGCCGCCGCGCTCTCCGATTCCCCACCCGCGCCCTCCCCCGCCTCGTCCACGCTCCAGATCGCCATGGCCCGGCTGGAGGACGAGTTCCGCAACATCCTCCTCTCGCACACCTCCCCCATCGAGGCCGAGCTGCTGACCGAGTCGGCTCACCCCGAGCTCAGCCAGGAGCTTGACTCGGGCGAGGAGATCGGCGAGCGCAGCTTCGGCAAGCAGTTCGAGCACCAGGAAAGCAATAGCAGCACCACCAGCAGCTGCTACAAGTCCACCAGTAGCATCCGCGAGGTGGATCTCATCTCCTGCGACGCGGTCTACGACCTCCGCTGCATCGCGGAGCGGATGATCGCCGCCGGCTACCTCCGCGAGTGCATTCAGGTGTACGCGAGCGTGCGGAAGTCTGCCGTGGACGCAAGCCTGAGGAAGCTGAGCGTCGAGAAGCTGAGCATCGGCGATATCCAGAGGATGGATTGGGAGACGCTCGAGACCAAGATCCGGCGGTGGATACGCGCGGCCAAGCTGTGCGTCCGCGTGCTGTTCGCAAGCGAGAGGAGGCTCTGCGAGCAGATATTCGAGGGTTTGGGTTCCTCTGCGGATGATGCGTGTTTCATGGAAACCATTAAAGGGCCTGCTATTCAGCTGTTCAATTTCGCCGAGGCCATCAGTATCAGCCGTCGTTCGCCTGAGAAATTGTTCAAGACTCTGGACTTGCACGATGCACTGTCCGATTTGTTGCCTGACATTGAGTCTGTCTTTGATTCCATATCGAGCGAGTCGATTAGGGTGCAGTCGGCGGAGATACTGTCTAGGTTAGCTGAGGCTGTACGAGGGATATTATCGGAATTTGAGAATGCCGTGCTTCGCGAGCCTTCGAAGGTTCCGGTACCCGGAGGAACAATTCATCCATTGACTAGATATGTGATGAATTACATTAGTCTGATCTCGGATTATAAGCATACCTTGAATGAGCTGATTGTGTCTAAGCCCTCGACTGGATCAAGATATTCGAGCGATCCCGATCCCAATGTTCCGGATATGGATTTTTCCGAGTTTGAAGGTCAGACGTCGATGTTGGCGCTTCATTTGATCTGGATTATTGTGATTTTGCAGTCCAATTTAGAAGGCAAGTCGAAGCACTACAAGGATATTTCCTTGGCTCATTTGTTTATGATGAATAATGTGCATTATATAGTTCAGAAGATTAAAGGGTCCCCTGAGTTGAGGGAGTTGATTGGGGACGATTATTTGAAAAAATTAACAGGGAAATTCCGGTTTTCTGCCACTAATTACCAGCGAGCGACTTGGGTGAGAGTACTGCACTGCTTGAGGGACGAGGGTCTTCATGTGAGTGGGAGTTTTTCTTCTGGTGTGTCCAAAAGCGCTTTAAGAGAGAGGTTCAAGGCTTTCAATGCCATGTTTGATGAGGTGCACAGAACACAGGCGACGTGGCTCATACCCGATGCTCAGCTTCGTGAGGAACTGAGGATTTCCATGTCGGATTTGCTCATCCCGGCCTACAGATCATTTCTAGGGAGATTCAGAAGTCATATAGAGAGCGGGAGGCACCCAGAGAATTACATCAAGTACTCAGTCGAGGACCTCGAGAATGCAGTCTTGGATTTCTTTGAAGGGTTTCCAGTATCTCAGCATTCAAGGAGGAGATCAGATTGACAATGGAATTCGAGACTGAAGGTTTGCCACATAGATTTGTAGGAAAAATCATTCTTTGGATTTTTAGTGGAGTTTTATGGGATGAGGGTACCGGACAAGCATTATTGTTCATCTCGAAGGATATCAGACGTGCTCATGTGAAACCAGACACAGTTCTTAACTGCCTCTTCTCGAATGCTTCAGAGACCTGTAAGCATGTGTTATTTGTATCATTATCTCAGCTTCTTTAGATTTGTTTCATTTGTTTATATGGGATTTGCTGTATTTTGTTGTAATTTATGAATATTGGGATTTTGGAATCAATTATCATGGCCGACAGAGATTGAATTTCGAAGAGCATCAGCTATTTCTCAACTGACTGCAAAGTGTTGCAATTGAAATATTTGTTCCTGGTGGAAACTTTGTTTCTTGCTGCTCATTCCCACTAAGTAACGTGCTTAGTTTCCTAATCCTTGCCGTATGATCTGAGAACTTGAAGACATCATTTACATGAATAATATTGGGGTCCTTTATACTTCTTCAATGTATTGCACTTTTGTTGTTTCAGTTGTATTGTTGTTCTACTTCTGGCCTATTTTAGTTGAAGGGTGGAGGTATTTCTGGTAATTGCATATGTTACCTTCATCCGAAATTTTTCATATAGTTCATTGTTTACTTTAGTTGCTTTCTCTCGTAGTTAGTGCAAAGCTCGTCTACCTTTGAAATTTTATCTTTTAAAAACCTATAATTCCACGCTCCATTAAGAAAAAAGATGTTTACAGAAAAAAAGCGCTCAGTGGTTTAGAGTCTTTAGACACCTATTTTCCTAGTTGTTTCCACTTCTAGATGCAACTTGAGGTTAATCTAGCCAAGGCAAACTTGCTAAGTGAAGTTTAGTAGCAAATGATACTTCAAATCACCTTTCGTACACAAATTCTTCAGGTCAATTGTCGGTTCTCCCATTTCAAGGACATAGGTTGAGATCATATTTGGTGCTTAACCCTTTTACAAGACAATGATCCAATCCAACTGAGACTTCATAATTAATTCGTTGAGCTTTTTGCAACCTCTCATTCCTTGGATGGCCGAAGAATTACATTTTTGTGTCCAAATAACAATACTTGCTTGTTGGATTTGCCCCAAGTTTGATTACTTATAATAATCACCTTTCTCATATTAGTATGTTCGAAATTTTATGCACAAAATATTTAAAACTTACTGATTTGAGGTCAATCCACAGTAACTAGCTATTGGATTGTCATATTTGATATGTTTCTTGTTGCCATTTGTGTAATTGAAGCGTTGCTGTAGGATCTAATCACCAAAGTAGACCCGAGAGGACCACCACATGACTTTTCTTTGGTAAAAGCAAAAGACTATTCTCGGTCTAAAATGGTGTTCATTTGACTTACAACCAAAACCAAAGACACTTTCGAGGCTGTTTGCTGACTGTTTGAGAAGGTTTGCAACCTGTTTTACGTGTATCTCGTGTTCTTCAAATTCCTTTGGTACTTGTGTAAGGTTAAAATGTTTAATGTTCGTTTTAGTAACCTAGGTTCTTACTACTTAAGTCCAGCAATCGGCTTCAATCGTATAATTTAGTGGGTTGATTTCGTATTTTAGAATATATCCTTTACCTTACCTATTTTACAAATTGGATAAGCAAAAGGTTGTATAAACTCAAAGAGGTTTAGTTGCCTTCTTCTTTTCTTTTCCACTCTCCATTTTCAAGAAAACATTCCTAATTGCTAGGCCATTCGCTCGTTTACAA